TACTTTCGGCTTAATGTATATGGGAACCTTTTTAAGGCTTGCTGCTGCTGCTGCTGCTGCTGCTGCTGCTGCTGGTGTTGCTGCTATTGTTATTGCTGTTGCTGCTCCTGTTGCTGCTGTTGCTTCTGCATCTCATAGAGATGCAGCAGTCTTTCCTCAAGATGAAGAAGGAGCTGTTATAGCTATTGGGGCTGCTGCTGCTGCTGCTGTTGCAGCAGCAGCAGCAGCAGACTTTGCTGTAGTTGTTGCTGTAGCTGCTGCTGCTGCTGTTGTTGTCTTTGCAGTAACACCGTTATATGCTGCATTTGCTGCTGCTACTGCTGCTCTTTCTCCCGCAGACCTCGTGGTGTAGTGCTGCTGCTGCTGCTGCTGCTGCTCCTGCTGCTGCTGCAACGAGGAAGGCAGCAGCAACGCGAGCAGCAGCGAGAGATACAGCAGCAAAAAGAGCAGCAACAGAAACAAAAATTATATAAATAAACAAAAAAAAGGATTAATGGAGCATTTAGCTGTGCGCATACACTCCAATCGATGAAGACATGCAGCAGCAGCAGCAGCAGCAACAGCAGCAGCAGCAGCAGCAGATTAGGTTTTGCGGCTGTAGGCCTAGAGGTCGATTGAAACCCTAAACCCTAAACCCTAAACCCTAAAAAACAAAATAAAAAATAATTTGTTTTGTATATTTATAAGAAAACACCCAACTAATAACCCTAAACACTAAACCCTAAACACTAAACCCTAAACCCTAAACCCTCAACAGCGGTGACCCGGCAGGACCACCACTTGCCCTGCGCACTAATACCATTACAAACCCCGAGGGTTTAGGGTTTAGGGTTTAGGGTTTAGGGTTTGGGGTTGTTAAGAGTCTCTCTTTAAAAACTCGAGGAGAACAGCAACAGCTGTTGCTGTTGCTCTGCAGCAGCAGCAGCAGCAGCAGCAGCAGCAGCAGCAGCAGCAGCAGCAGCAACAACAGTTGCAGCATGTGTTGATTGTGTATTCAGGACATAGCCGAGGATTAGTGGTAGAATTAGGTCATGGATTAACAAGTGTTGTTCCTGTCTTTGATTTTTATGAATTACAACAAGCAACCTTTCGTATGCTAATTGGTGGTAAGAATCTTGCATGCATGCATGCATGCATGCATGCATGCATGCAGATATATATTATATTAAGATAGATAGAGTTATGCATGTTTATTAGAGGCAGTAACACAAGAGACAATAATATAATAAACTTATAAACCCTAATAAACACTAATCACCCGCATAAACTCTAAACCCTAAACCCTAAACCCTAAACCACAAACCCTAAAGATAGCAAGAAAAAGACTAATAAACCCTCATCTATATTATTAATAAACAAGGATAAATATTAATAAACCCTAATCATTATTAACATTAACAAGAGATAATCATAAACTTAGTAAGACTGATGTACCTCGACGTCCGCCTCCACCAAACCCAAAACCCTAAACCCTAAACCCTAAACCCTAGAAGGTAGATATATTTGTGTATTTTTTTTTTTTTTTTTAGGGGAGGAAGTGAGTAGTGCATTTAGGAGAGAAGTAGAGAAAAAAAATGGTATAAAAGGTAGTTTATTAACAGATATATTAGTAGAGAATGCAAAAGAATCTATGCTGTATGTACACTCCAATTCAATAGATCCTTCTATCTATGATGATCCATCACTATCATCTTCTGCATTAGAACTACCTGATGGTAATATTATTCAGGTAAGAGTCTCCTCCCTTTGTCTCCTCTATGTCTCCTCTGTCTCCTCTATGTCTCCTCTATGTCTCCTTTGTCTCCCCTTTGTCTCCGCTGTCTCCGCTGTCTCCTCCGTCTCCGCTGTCTCCGCTGCCTCCGCTGCCTCCTTTGTCTCCGATGTCTCGTTTGTCTCCTCTATGTCTCCGCTGTCTCCTTTGTCTCCTTTGTCTCCCCTTTGCCTTCCTTTGTCTCCTTTGTCTCCTTTGTCTCCCCTTTGTCTCCTTTGTCTCCGCTGTCCCCGCTGTCTCCCCTGTCTCCGCTGTCTCCGCTGTCTCCGTTGTCTCGTTTGTCTCCTCTATGTCCTCTTTGTCTCCTTTGTCTCCTTTGTCTCCGCTGTCTCCGTTGTCTCCCCTTTGTCTCCTTTGTCCCCGCTGTCTCTGTTGTCTCCCCTTTGTCTCCTTTGTCCCCGCTGTCTCCGCTGTCTCGTTTGTCTCCGCTGTCTCGTTTGTCTCCGCTGTCTCGTTTGTCTCCGCTGTCTCATTTGTCTCCTTTGTCTCCTTTATACCTTACATCTAGTGTCTCTGTCTCCTTATGTACTACCTTTGTCTCCCCCTCCTGTGTCCTTGTCCCCTATTTGCTGTCTAGGGTTGTAGGTATTAGGTGTATGTTGGGGTGTATGTACAGCTGGGTGCTGAGGCACGAAGTCGTCCTTGTGAGGTATATTTTGGTGGTATAAATTCCTTAGGAGGAGGAGGAGGAGGAGGAGGAGGAGGAGGAGGAGGAGGAATAAAAGTATCATCATTGAATTGTAGTCCTGCATTAAAGGCCCAAATATTAGGAGAAGGAGCAACACTACCTTTATTAATAACATCATCATTAAGGTGTATAGACACCCAATTGCATGCAGCATTAAATAAACAAATTATATTTACTAGAGGAGGATCTTTATTAAGAGGATTAGATAAAAGGATAAAAGAGGAGCTTATATTAGCAACAAACCACCAACAACAGCAACAACAACAACAACAACAACAACAACAACAACAACAACAAGAAGGAGCAGGAGGAACAGGAGGAGGAGGAGGAGGAGGAGGTAATAATAATAATAATAATAATAATAATAATAATAATAATATAGGTAATTATAATAATTTACCTAATAATATATCTGTTATATTTGCTAGTGGACGTAAGAATGCATCATGGATGGGTGCATCTATACTTACATCTTTATCTACTTTTTCTTCTTTGTGTATAAATAAACAACAATATAATGAGGGAAAAGGGGACAAATGTGCCTTATTAGATAACCAGATAGGAGCACCATAACTGTCTCCTTTTGTTGTCTCCTCTTGTCTATACTTACTTATATCTTTATCTACCTTTTCTTCTTTATTTATAAATAAACAACAATATAATGAGGGAAAAGGGGACAAATGTGCCTTATTAGATAACCAGATAGGAGCACCATAACTGTCTCCTTTATTGTCTCCTTTATTGTCTCCTTATCTGCCTCCTTTATTGTCTCCTTATCTGTCTCCTTATCTGTCTCCTTATCTGTCTCCATATCTGTCTCCTTGTCTGTTTCCTTATCTGTCTCCTTTACTGTCCCCTATATTATCATGTATTAATTGTCCCTTCCCCTTGTCCCTTCCCCCTGTCCCTCCCCCCTGTCCCTTTCCCTCCTGTCTCCCTTCCTCTCCTTGTCCCTTTCTTGTTAATAAGACAAGCCTCCTTTTTATTTATTCCTTATACTATAGACACCATTAAGAAGAATTAACTTCTCCTATGCAGACTGCCCAACAATTTCTTAAGACGCATGCACTCCTACCCCCGACGGCCTCCCTAAAGGGGCCCCTAGGGGCCCCTCTAGGGGCCCCTCTAGGGGGCCCTCTAGAGGGCCCTCTAGGGGGCCCCCTCGGGGCCTCAGTCGGGGCCCTCCTCGATGCATGCGTAGGCTTATGCCGTGGTGAACATTTATCCATACATAAATAATTTGCATGCATATTTTGCATGCATTATTTGCATGCATTATTTGCATGCATTATTTGCATGCATATTTTGCATGCATTATTTGCATGCATTATTTGCATGCATATTTTGCATGCATTATTTGCATGCATATTTGTTCTTGTTTGCTATCCTTATAAAGAGTTATAGTAACAATTAATATAATTAAGGAATATATAAATAAATAAATAATTATTATTATTCTTCTCCTTAATACCATCATATAGATCCCTTTGTCTCCTTGCTGGGTAGCAAGAGGAAAAGGGACTGTCTCCCTTCACTATTTATGCTCCCTAAACCCTAATAAACCCTAAACCCTAATAAACCCTAAACCCTAATAAACCCTAAACCCTAAACCCTAGCAAAAGTATATTTTCTTGTCTTAATAGGCGATGATTAAAATAAAGACAAGAGAAGAAAAAGAAGTTATATAACCAATTATTGTTCGTAAAAACGTACATATGTATACATATACATATACATATATATACGTATATATAAATATATATATATATATATA